CGTCTCTCAGACATGTTTTCCTTCGTGGTGGTTAACTTGAGTTGAACTGCAGCACAACACTCAACCAGCAGTCAAAAGGGAGAATGAAATTATTTTTAAAAAAACGGACAGAGACACGACCCCACGCAGCCGCAACAAAAAAAAAGAGAGAGAGGGCCACACACACACGGCACGCGGCGCACACCTCACACACACAAACACGCACAGGCACCCCCAATCCCGCACACAACGCAAGCGTGATGCATCACGGCACCCTCCCACACAAACAACGAGAGCAAATTAGATCTCCCTAGGCAAACCGTGCAAATTGCGCGGCACACGGCAACTGCGACGAGGTGTCTCTCTTCTTCTTGTATTGCACCCGCCACTCGGATCCCCACAACTCCGTGTGTGCGTAGCCACACGTAGATATCACCCACTCACGGCGAAATTGACTGCCTCGTCGCAGCGGCATTTTGTGTCGCAATTCGCTGAGATGCAAAGAGGCAGAACACCCACCGCCTGTTCCCCGTGAAAAGGAGAATTGACGCCACCGCATTCTCCCCCGCGACGCAAATATACGCTGCGCCCAGCACGTGGCGCGGTGCACGTGAATTCCGAGAGGGAATTGTTTGCCACACGACTGGGCCGCACGGGGCGCAGCCCGCGAAGGCAGCCGCAGACACCTCCGTTTCCTTCAGTCGTCGTGGCGGCGGAACCCACAGTTTCTCAGGGTGCCGGCGGCGTCGGGGGTGCTGCCAACAAAAAGAGTGCGGCAGCATATTCCCTGCTGCAAGAGCAGAAGCGGCAGCCCCACTCTGCGGCCACCGCACCACTCAGTGAGCCCCACACAATCTTCCGCATTTCTTTTTTAGGCCGCACGCCCCGTGCCACGCCGTTGCAGTTGACGGTGCCGCGCCTCAAGACAACACCCACACGAGCGGCGCCCTGCGGCCGCAAAGAAAAGGTTGAATGACCCATAACGCACCTCCTCCCCCTTGTCTCTCTCTTCCCTTCATCCCCACCGAAGGAAGCAGCAGCAGCCACAGGCGGCACTGCCAGCACCAACTACGAAAACACCCTCCACGCGCACTGCAATATATCGAGTTTGTGTGTCTGCGTGCCTGCAGATACAAAAACTTTAAAAAGGGAGAGCAAAGCGTGTGAGGACGCACATGCACACAGAAGAGACGCAAGGAGAAAAAAAGGAGATCACTAAAACACAAAATGGCACCCCAGCACGCGCAGTGGCAACACACAAGAAATATGGTTCAACAAAAAAAAAAAGCTCCTCAAGACGTTCTCATACGACAATAAAAAATGAAAAAAAATCCTAAAAACGATTTCACAATAAAAAATTACTCCTAAAGACGTTTGCACAAAACAAAAACAAAAGAAATTGTCGTGGAAGGCCCCCGGTGTCCAGACACTTTTTTACTCGCACAGGGACCCGCAGTGCGTTGCTTTGGCTCTCACTCCCTTCCTCCTTCCTTCTCCCATCGGCGAACACACAATGCCAAGAGCGTCCGCAGACACCCAAGAAAAGCGGTTAGTTGTTTTTCCTCGTGTATTTTCGAAAGAATTCAGTGGCCTGCGCGTCAGCCAGCACAGTGGCACACGTCCGCCCCCGCCACAAACGAAGACGTGAAGGAGAGAGGGAGCTCCGGTACCTCCCGCGGCGACAGCAGTGCGGGGGCGCAGTGAAGCATCTCCCGCCGCCGGGCAAACACGCAGACTCAACGCCGTCGTCAAGAACAAACCGACAAAACAATAAAAACACATCTGTAAAGCAGTAAACCAACAAAACACTGAACGAATAAAAACAAACGGCGAATGGTCTCCGCCATTGCCAGAAACGAACAAAATAACAAACAAAAAAGGGAGGAAGAAAATCAATGAAGACCCCACCGTACTGGCGCCGAGAAGAGAGCCCAATTTGTGGGTCGAAGAATAAAAAAAAATGAAGGTCCTGCGTTACAAAAAAAAAACGTAAAATAAAACAAAATTGGTGTCCACCTGAGACTTTATTTACTTTAAGAGCGCGTGGACAGACGGAGCTGCTCTCAGTAGAAACATAAACTCCCCTCCGCCGGGCTCCACTCAGCACAGGGCCGCAAAGCCCCACAGCCCCACAAACAGCAAAAGTAGCAGCCGAGACACATCCGCAAGCGTGGAGCTGTCACCTGCACTTTTCCAAGATACATCAGACTGGTCAACTGCTTTGAGTTCATCTTCACTTAGTGGGCGGTTGTACAAAAAGACGTTCTTTACTGTCACACTGCTGTTTTCGCCGCCGCCAAAGTAAAAATGAGAGATATCATGCCTCCGTGACTTAAGGGGTGGTAGTTTGTTAGTATTCCCCACAAGCACGCCGTCCACGTACACGGAGCCCTTGTTTCCCTGCAGCATGAGCGCCACTTTGTACTCCTTCCCCGGCTCCCAAGTGCTGTTGCGTATTGTTGTCAAGTCGTCGAAGACTGTACCCCACTCGTTTGCCGGC